TCAACTTTTGTGGCCTTTTTGAACATTCATTTTTCCATATTAAAAAAGAGCTTTGGTTTTCAGATATTTCGTCAACCAACTTTGCAGGATTATTAGTAAGCAGTTTTTTGATATCTTCTTCATGAATATCTGAAATAGTTTCATTATCTTTAGGGACAACTTCTGAAATATTCTCTTTTGTTTCATTGTTATTATCTGCAATCATATATGCAGGAATTTCTTTTGAAGTATCTTTCACATTTCTCATTAAAAATTATGTAAAGCCACAAACATTTTCAAATGCTGATTTATTTGGTCTTGCTTCTTTGAAAGCATCTATTAAAAGCTGGTTTAATATATTTGCACATTCATTTATTCCTGTACTTGAATTGAATATATAGAATCTATTAAAAAAAAATAAACAAAACTGATTACAAATTTGAAGAATTCTACGATTTTATTATATTTAATAGATTGAACAACTTGTTATCATTCTTATGTATTGCTTCTATCCACTAAATGTTTAAAGTTTTTGGTTTAGAACAAATGCATAAAATGTGAAAATACAATATATATAGTGAATATAATTCTTTATTTATTTTATTTTATTTTATTTTTTTGCGCATATGGGTGTTTACCTTATTTTTTAATACAAAGTTTAGTGCAGTAACTTTTTGTCTATTATTACCATATTCAAACTCATTATCTAGTATAATCATTGTCTTTCTAGCAAGATCCTTCATTAATATAGTAGGTTCTGTCAAGTAAAGTGTTTTTATGTCTTTCCTAAGACCAAAATGACCCATTTGTGATATATTCTAAATAAAAAACCTGAGACCAAAAACTTCCTTAAATAATTTGACCTATGCCAAATACTCATTGTATGCTCTAACATTTGAAATAAATTAGTATAAAGGAATATATATATATATTATTAAAAAATTATACACAATATTTCTTACGTTTTGTGATTTGTAACAAGTAGGACATCTGGATAAAATTTATGAGAAAACCCACGGTAGATAGTTGATACTCTGATATCAAAAAATTGAATATGAACAATTTTTAGTGAAAAAGGTTTATTAATCTGAGATTAAGTATTATACCAAAGTTTTTATTATAAATTTTTATATAAGTATAAATTTTTTTACTTCTGTAAGTTCATTTATTTTAAAAGCTATACCTTCCCAAGCTCCAAATAAAGCCAAAATCCTGCATATTCAAATGCCTTTGCTTCAGTTAATGTTAAAATAACTTCTAATTTTAATGTTTTATCAACTTTTAACAAAGGAATATCAAAAATCCATTCATTTTCCATAGTTTGCACTGGTGGAATAGTAATAACATCTTTCTGATTTGGATTCAAACCAAATTTTAAAGCAGAAGATGAAACATCACCAGAAATTTTACATTATCTGATACAAATAAGACGTTTATTGTTTGAGAGAATGCCAAAATCCACTTTTGATGTATTTTTTACATTCCAGATAACTTTAGTTACATGGCCAACAACCTAAAGATTTAGAAACAACAATTATATATTAATAGAGAAAGAAAATTAAATATAATGGTTAAATCAAAATTTACCATAGAATTCATATGTAAAATTTGGGTAAGCTCTACAGGAAATTGAATATTGATAGGATGTCCAAATAGATTGAAGGCTGGAAGTATCCTTTCAAGCTCTGTTATTGTTGCTGTCAAATGTAATAAGTCAGTTGCTCAAAAAGGTGGGCCTGATATATTATCAAATGTTAGTAAATATAAAATATAGTGAAGTAATGAAATTAAGTAATGCTTTATTGTAAACCTGGTTTGTCTACTGTGTGCCCCCAAGAAGAAATGAAAAAGGCTGATCACAATTAATTTCTTTAAAGGTAAATTTATCAATCATTTGTGGTAATAAGATATTCTTCTTTAGCTTTTGGTTATGAATCCATTTTGAATCATTGATATTAACACGGATATCTCCTAACAATTGAAATTAAAGTAAAGCTATTATTAAGATATAACATGTTAGTTATATATATCCTAAAGATAAGATAAATACGTCTTGGTGTAGGCATATTAGATTGATTATAAACATTTAAAGAATCTATAATAAGTTGAGCTTCAGGTTTATAAGCTCCTGTAACGGAGTGAATAATAGCATTTTGCAAACGTATATCAAAAATTTTATTGTATTTTGTAATATCGTTTGTAACACTGAATAAACATATGAAATTGAAGTTAAAGCTCTTGAGGTAATGAAATTTTCTTTATTATAAATTCAAAAAAAAAATATTTTTCACCTGTTTTTAATCAAAAATCGGAGAATTCCATCTTTTCCTGGTTTACTATCATAAAGAGTAAAAGATGGACGTAGTCCAGATTCACCATCAGGACCCGGAGAGCCACCTAATATGAATAAAGAGAATTAATGTTATATTAAAATACTTGTGATTTAATAATTCTATACCTGGTATATAAATATTACTGCAGTCTCTTCCTCCAGTTGTATCAGCATAACAATCGCCACCAGGACCACCTGGCCCTCCACTACCTAAAAATAATGTTAAGACCATAATAGGTGATATTCTAGACTAAAAATGATAACTGTATAAGCAGTACCTGGTGTTCCGTGGCGGCCTGCATTTCCTATATTAGGGTAATTAGCAGTATTATTACACATTGTTTTTGTTGCTATTTGCAATATAGTAAAAGATATAGTAATATTACCTCCTCTTCCTCCATATACATCTAAACAGTAAGAAATACGTGGAGTCCATGCAATCACAAATAACACTAGTAATCCAGAGTCAGTATCATCCATATGCAAGGTAATTGTACCACCTCTTCCGCCATTGGCACCACTATAGACCATAGGTGCAAGCATAATCAGAATATCAGAAATAATTAATAATTAACTAAAGTGTTGTAAATTAGAATTAATGCCTACCTGGTTCCTGCACCTGTAAGGTTTGTTTTTTTATTATCATTGAGAAATTAGAACATAGATAAGCCAGTCATTTTTTTAAACAGTACTAATGCAAGAATTTTACCTGCATTGCCACCATCACCACCACTTCCACCATCTGTTCCATTGTTCGATCTTTATTATCAAAAGAAATTAATCAATATCTAATATTATTGTAACTCCTTATACAATATTTCTGGATAAATTTAATTTTTAGAACGACATAATGAATAAAAAGACTTACAAAGTAGCATCCAGTCCCGGACAACCCATTTCACCATCACCTAAAATGAAAGCTTTTAAGTTTATGCATTTTATGCATTATATACCTACATTTAAATTATAAAAGATTAATAAAATACTAACCAACATCGCCACCAATACCACCATTTCCTCCATCTCCTCCTCGTGCTATGAGCATGTGTCAAATTATGATACATTAATCAATTTTTTTATATCTTAAATTTGAATTAAATTTACCTCTTAGTATAAACACATTAACATTTTTGCACGAGAAGGTTTTTTTATAGTCATAAACTACAGATCCTGGTGTACAATATTTTCCTGAGAATTGAATTGAGGCACCATTAATACTATCTCTGCAAATTATTAAATTTTAAAATAAAAAAAGAAAATTAACAATAGAAATAAAAATCTCATTGCAAATATAATTAAGAAAACGAACTTTTCAGATATTTTCAATTCGATACCTGATATAATTGTAAATATAAAATTTTGATTTAGTTTTTTATTTGTTCAATTAATATAATGATATTTTTTGGTGAATGAATTTATCTGACCTCCAGCATCTCCACCTTTGGTCGGGTTTGTAGCATCACTCCCATGGTTACCATCAAATGAACGATAGATTACAGCATGATTTCCATTTAGTCCATCAGCACCACGAGAACCAGATACATCAATTATTGTAGTCATTAACGTTATGGAACTATTTAGATCAATTTAATAAATTCAAAATCGATGTTTAATTAAAAATTTAGGAAATCAAAAATGTGCTAAAGTAAGCAATAATTATAGGAAGTCATAATATAATATTACAAGAATAATATTAAGAGAAGAATAAGTCCAGTAAAAAAATAAATTATAATCTGAAAGCTTTCCTAATTTAATATTTGTGAACTTACGCCTTCCTAATTTTTAACTGTAAACATCGCATGAACATTTGTGAACTTAAGCTTTCCTAATTTTTAATTGTAAACACCACATGAACATTTGTGAACTTACGGAATTTCGGAATGGATAATTAAAAATTTGCTGTTGCTAATATCAGTTCCATATGCTTTATAAATAAATTTTTATTACTTTTACTATCATAATTCCTGGGCACTGTGACGTCCAGTGGGAGAGTCTTTCTTCTATCAATACCAATTTAACTCAGGAACGTCAACATTAAAAAGATGAAAGCAAGTATTTATTGTCTCTTTCCAAGTATTCACAGTACTAAACCAATATCTTTTATTGTGTCCCAGACACTAACAATAACAAATATCCTTCCCAAACTAACCAACCTAGTACGTTCCAAATGCACTAAAACCAAAATACAAATCTACTAAATCCCTAAAATCCTAGAAGTGACTAAAACTCTCTATGTTTTCTTATTTTTTTATTCCGTTCCATTTTCTGTTCAGCGCTTAACGTAGCCTATTTTTATTGTGAGTAGCTCGGAAATCAGATGTTGTTTTTACCAGGGGCATGTTATACCAGTATTGTTATTTCGAA